TTTAAATTTAAAAATTTAGATTTTAAATTTTCCCTTTATATGCTGACCACCGAGCCCCTTGTATGCCTTGCTGGAAGAGGGCAAATGGTACAAGACCCATACGGATTTGGGGTTTTCCCTCACCCGCAGCACCCCTCATATGCAGCAAGGAGGTTCTGAAACGCCGTGGCTTTGTTTTCTCACGTGGCGCTCGGCTCCCACTCGGTCTATTTTTCCCCTGCAGCGTCTCCCACTCGCCACTGTCAAATAAAGCGGAGCTGAGCGCAGAGCGGGGGGGGGGTGCTGCCAGATGGCTCCGCGAGGCTGAGCATCATATTTTGCTACCCGTCTTTTGTTTCTTTTTCTTTTTTCTGCGCTTGCCATCATTATTCAGCTCATTCACTTTTAAACCCTCCTTCACGTCCCTCTTCATCCCAGTCAGTCACCGCGCTCCTTGTTATAGGGGAGGCATCCCAAGGTCGTTGTGTGTGGCATCTGTTACAGCATATGGTACATCTGCTGCTTCGGGGAGCTCTGAGTGTTTCTGCCCTTTTTTTTCTTCCGTGTGCGCCTGTGTACGTGCGCGTGTGGGATGTCGGCTCTTCGGCTGCCCTCTCTTAAGCAAGGACCCCGTCTGATGCAGTTAGCGGTAAAAAAATACAGTAAAACGAGGATTCTGGATGGCTGACAGTTTATTTTCTGAGGAAAAGGTCCTCTGCAGATGGGATTGCTATAAACTTTAATAGGCTGTATGACAGCCACAGTTGGAAGCTGCTAGACATTTTCAGCTTTCGGGTGTCTTCGTCACCTCAGCCAGTGCGTTACACAGTTAGGTTTGTACGAACCAAAGCCCTGAACTTCATCTACGTATAGTCAGGATGATGCATAGCATAAACACAGAATGTGCAACGCTCCCTTCCTTCTACACTCCAGCTGGCCTACAGCGATTTTCATTAATATTGGTCCACTGGAGGTATTTCTGAAATCTGTTATCATCATCATGTCTCTAGTATCTCATGTTTTTATGAATTACTTATTTTCCCATGTGAAGAACTTACAGTCAAACCCAGACCTGTTAACTAGATAAATTATTTTAGGAAAGAGAAAGAACTGGAACAGAAAGAAAGGGAGGGGAGTCATAGAAACACTTATGGAAGGATTTCAGAAGAAGGGAGAGGCAAAAGGCAGATTTACAACAACTTACCACCTCACAGAATTGGAAATACATGCTGCAACTCATTTTTGCTAGCAAGTTTTCCAAAAGTTACCACATCTGCATTGGGTAATGCGTTAGAGTCTGTCTGACTCTGATATTTTATCTTCCCTGCCCTTTTTACACCAAGTGACAAAGTGCAGAGACAGAACTAAGAAAAAAGGAGTAATCTTAACTTCTTAAATATTTCTGTGTCTTTTTGAATTCACTGGAGGAATCAACAAAAGACGTTGAAGGAAGGAAATATAGGAAATAAAGGAAAATTTATTTATTATCCTGATTTTGGAAGGAGAGGCAGGAGGAGGGGGTACCATTTTTAAAATGTAAACCTCTATTGAAAATGAGCCTTATATTTCAAAGGTGTAAGTTACCCTCTCGGGCACCTGGTGAATTTTCAGCTAGGTGGAAGGTGGGCCTCTATGCAAGTGATAGGCAAGTTCATCCCTCTCGATACAGATGGGATAAATTATCCCCTGAGAAGCTTTTCTCTCACTGTCGTTTATGGAGGGAACCTGAAGAACTAGTGATGACCAGATATGTAACTTTTACTTGGCTAAAGATGAGATGAGCCCTGACTTTTTGAAATGAGGAATGAGCTGAGATAACATAGAGGGGGAGAAAGTGGAAGAATAGTGGACTGGATGACTGGAACTTAAGGTATGAAACTGCAGAACATTGATTTTTTTGGCAGCCTGAGAAAGGAAGCCTGTCGGAAGGATCTGAGAGGTGCTTTGATGGGTAAATTGGGAAGGACTGATGTGACTTACCCACACAGGACCTCTCCAGGACTGTCGTGAGCTGTTAGTGCAGGGACTGTCTGGAATTGCCAGGGGTTAAAAGGTGGGATCAGTCTTACCAGTTACAGGTGAAGAAACTGAGACCCAGCACAATTACTTACCACATTGTTCTCCTTCAGCCATGTTTTACCGAGTATAGTACTGTTCTTTGTACACCAAAGTGATCTCTTCTTAGGAGAAAATTTTGCAAAAGGTGTTATCTAGAAGGACTTAAAATAGCATGGGGGAAGGCATTAAAGTAGCCAGAGGCCTGGAAACCTAGAAATGTCTGAATTGTTAAGTTTCATTTTAACGCTGTCCCTTTGATGGTTTTTAATAAGCTCTTGCATGTCAGTACCTCCATTTCAGCAACGGTAAAATAGCATTTATAATGCTATTAATGCACTTTTTCACAGGAGCTGAGGGAGTTGGTTAATACATTGGATAAGACTGTTTATCAGCGTGCCAAGCTCTTTGTTGTGCAAGGATTTCTTATATTAATTTCACTGTCTGGCTTTCCAGGGAAGGACATGGCAGCAGTGCAGAGAACCTTAATGGCTCTAGGCAGTTTGGCAGTCACCAAGGATGACGGCTGCTACAAAGGGGATCCATCCTGGTTTCACAGGTAAAGTCCAAAGCACAGCTGCTCAGACCTGTCTTCCCCAGGAAGCTGGTAATATCATCTGCCTTTAGGCTTTAAGGAATTTTATTGGGAAAGGAGGGGAAGAGTCTTTCCAAAGTCTCCTTGTAATGGAGAGATTTTCTCTTCAGAGTCTAGATGAGGGAAGCAAAGACCCAGCCGGGCAGCAACACTTTCTACCCTTCACTGGTTCCCAACTTTATCAGCATCACTGCTAGGCCCACGTCTTACCATATCTTGTCAACCTAAAGTTACACCAGGGCTGCTGGGGAGGAGCTCTGTGGGAGCTGTGCAGCGCAGCCTTTTCTCATGTAGCCTCGTCACGCCAGCTTATGTGTCCCTCCTGCCCCACAGCTGGGACGGCACTACTGGTACCAGGACCAAGGAGCGCATTGCCCGTGGCTCCAGCTCTGGTTTCCTCCTGGAGGTGCCCCTTTTGAATGAGGCTGTTACAGGCTGTGTTGGTGTGGGCGTGTGTGTGCACGCGTGGGGACCCTACTGGATGGTTGGCTTTTGGTAGTGCACACAGGGAGGAATGCAGCATCCTGCTCCAGGCACCTTCGTAGCATATCTGTCTTGCTGTGTGAAGGGCCCACGCTGATCACTGAAGAAGAGACATAATTTTCTTGTCCATTGACATTATCCCTTACTCTTTATTCCCTAGAAGGAGAGCAATGATACTTAGGAAATTCAGCCACCAGTTTTCATGACATTCATCTGTTTAGCAGCTTCAGCTGATCCTTTATATCCATTTATGAAACAAAGGGAACGAAAATGGCAGCAGCCATGCAGATATCATGTGTCCTAAAAATAACCGGCAGTAAAAGTGTACTTTTGCCTCACATCAGATAACAGACCAGAAGACTAATGAAGACAAGGCTGTCATGGATGTCTGCAAACCCCCATATAGTGACCCCGTTACCGAGCAAAAAGAAGGCATGAAGCCTCTTTCCATTTTTCATCAAACAAAAAATGATTTCATTTCCTAGTCATCTTTTGTCTTGAAGAGTACCGCTTATCTGTGAAGAATTCTCTGTCTTGGCAAAGCTGTTTATTTGCTCTAAAACTCCATTTGTTTTGGCTAGGGAGGCTGAGAAGCAGGGACAGGAAGAAAAGGAAATCGTCCCATCTTTAGCCCTCCTGCCCCACAGGAGCAAAAAGAGTGCTGGCTGCTTGTCTTTGGTTTGCTTGAATTTTCTGATGTTTAGATGATGCTCAGCAAAAGCAAAGCAAACTTCTTTCGGTTTGTCTTAAACCTTGAGCTGGTTTAACTGAGGCTAAGGGAGACTTGAATTTTAGGTGAGTAAGTGCAAACTCCTATGCATTCTTCGTATGAAATTAGTTTAAATTAACTTAATACAGACCACAAAGAGATTTGTATTTATTGAATATAATTGGGTTTAAAATTTAAATCCAATTACAAGCTTTAATACAAACCAGACATGAAATCACTATGACCCAGACAGGCTTATTTGTTTTATGTAACTAAAACAAAGTCCTACATGGAAAAATTAATTTTCATCTGGACTCTTAATTGTGGGTGGGAACAGTTTTCATTGGCATAAATGAAGATGTGATCACCTCCCTTCTCCCCTAGCTGTCTGTCCTGCCCATACTGTTTGGATAGCCAATCCCTATCTATTGCAGCCCCTGAAATACCATTTTATAGCCACTGCCTTAAGGAAAACTGGTGTTATTTCTATAAGGAAATAACATATGGCAGATCATGAGCTGTTTTCTGAGTAGCTTACCCATCATTCAGGCAGATCAAGCCCCCTCACTGCCACCCAGTGCTAGTCATGAGTCAGGGCTTTCAGGCTGATTCTTAATCGCCTTAAGTTAAATTGAAAGTCGTCAAGATTAAATAGTATAAGAGTATCTGTTCAGGGATCAACAGTGATTAAGATACCCCCACACCTGAGCTAAGCCGTTTTAACTTCCCATTGCCAGTGTCTCACATACCCAGTCTCACCAGGCCTGATTACCCCTTTGTTGCGTACCTTAGCGAGGTTCATGGATCCATGGCTGTTTGTTATCTTGCAGTTTGGCAGCCACTGGTGCAAAGCTGGCATAAAAAGTTAACAGATCTGCATGGTGGGCTCAGTTTGCAGTAAGGATGTTGCCAGGTGATGGCAGACTGGCCAAACAGAACTTGACACAGTGTGAGACACTGAGGGGAATAGACTTGCCCTCACCTCTTTTTCTTACAGTCTCAGTTAAGGCTATTACCGCCAACCTAAAACCAAATCAAAAGTACATGTTGTTATCTGTATGACCATCATATACTAAATGTGGTGCTTATGATGGTGAAAATAACACTATATAATCCAAACTGTATAAGTAATCAATTTTTATTAACATATCCAGACTTCCCTTTGTTGTCTCTTTTTATTTCTTCTTCACAGTCTCGGGGTTTTTTTTCCTGATCGTAGTTACATTTCAACTTTCTGTGGAATTACTCCACAACACAGCTCAAAATTCTAGGAGGAAAAAAGAAAAAATAATAGAATGTGTTCCTGGGATTTTAATTAAAATAAAAGCAGACACAGTGAACCTGAGATTCAATCAGGTAATAGGAGTAGTTCTAAAAACATCCTCTCGTGGAGATCCTGGCAATAGTTTGGTACCCGTGTAGGGATCCTGGAAAAGAAATTAAGCAGCAGTGAGAGGGGGTTGCTTTCTGAGGTGCCCTCAGTTCTGCGTGCCTCACTCCAAAACAGCACGCATTTTGGCAAGAGCTGTGGGATCTGAGAGCCTGTGATGGGCTTCTGTAAGACCTCTTACTAGTCTATGCAGTAACACTGGAGACCCGTTCTGAAAAATGACTGGTTTCCTGTGGATCTTTCTCACTTTTCTGCTTTGCTGGGCTTTCATGCAGACGTGGGTTCTTCTCCTGCAATGTCCTGAACACCCTGAGCCTAGCAAAGAGTTTAAGTGCATTTTTGGACTCGAGCCAGCGTGCTCAGCACAGTACAGGATCAGACCCTGACAGAGAGGACCATGTTGATGGTTTTCAATCACAGCAGCCACCTAATCTATCATTCTCATCAGGTGGTGGGGTGGGGAGAAAAGGGGAATTGTAAGGCGATGCCATATTGGAGGGTAACCTGATCCCAGGACAAACAGACACAGCAGGGAGAAAGATTGTACCTGGGTGGGAGTAGAATCTGGTCGATTGAAAGCCTTCCTCAGTCTGGGGCTCTGCTGATTCATAGGGCTTATTTGGCAGCAACAAACTGATCCTTCTCCCTGGTAAATGATTTGTTTTCCTCACTTTGTATAAATGAAAGATTAATCCAAGACGAACATTTCTCTCAAGGCAGCAGAGTACAAACTTTTGTGCTTCTTCTTAGCAGCCACTTCTGCCCTCAATGCTATTTTCTGGAAAAAGAGGCTCCTTTTAAGCACCAACAAAGGTTCATTGATCCAAAGGGCTTTTGAGACCAGGGACACTGAACAAAAGTGGTCCATATGTTTTGACAGAAGATAAAGGACTCTCATACAGTTAAGACACAGGTGCAAAGGGCAAAGTCTATTGCTTAGAGGAGGGAGATCTGGAAATGGCAACGGAGCAATTGTTCTGTCCTGCAGGCAGCCATCATCTGCTCTGCGAAAATGAGCAAGTCACTTCTCTGTCCTGTTGTTTCTCCGGGTACATTCAGCTCTTAATTACTCCACTGAGTTAAATTATACCAATTCGTACTGTTGCTCTAGATGGGTATCAACTTGTGTTGGAGCACAGGTAAGTGTCTCGTTGATCAGATCCCATGGACTACAGCCTTTAAGGGCTGTAGGGCTTAACACAAATTAATCCTATCATGAGTGCTATATACAGCACTGCATAAATATTTTACCTGTCACAGATGCTGGGGAAGTCCCTTGGGGTTCTTGAGTAAGTGCTACAGTGAAAGTCTGAAGTGTTGTAGGTTTGACTAGAGCATTACTTCTAACTGCAGGAAAGCAATTAGCCCAGCCAGCATTGTCCAGCCCACGGGATGGTGCAAATGAAATATTGCATCACAGGGGGAACGTCTGTTAACAGGAGCCAATTTCAGATTGCTTTTCATGGTCCTCTCTCTGGGCATATGCAGAATGATGGCATGTCTGTATGTTGCTTTTTTGTGTGTATCTGGACAGGAAAGCACAGCAGAATCGACGAGGATTTTCAGAAGAGCAGCTTCGTCAGGGACAGAACGTAATAGGCCTTCAGATGGGCAGCAACAAAGGAGCATCACAGTCGGGTATGACAGGCTATGGGATGCCAAGGCAGATTATCTAAAAGCATCTCTGTCTGTAGAGAAAACACTCCTTCTGCAGCATCTCCTTCTGCAGCATGGTCTGTTAAAAAAAAAAAAAAAAAGAAAAAAAAGAAAAAAAAGCTCATTAGTTCCCTTTCTGCCTGTTTTTTAATAGTTAGTGCTCTCTGAGGTTCGGGGTATTTTTGGTTTGGTTTGTTTTATTTGCAGCTGCAAGAGTTCAAGTAGGCACTTGGGTTTTCGTGGTGGCGTGTGTCAGTTCACAGCACGTGCGCACTGCTGCCTCCTACTTTTCACTTCTGAACTATGCAAAGACAATTATTCTGTATTAATTTATTTGCAAAGTGTTATCTTCCATATTTGTCTCACACCGCACTTGTATTTCAACCAGTAACCTCGTTCTTCAATTCAGTGATGATATTGTTTGACCTAAGAATAAAGACAAATTAAAGACACTTCTTAGACTCATTATTTAAAGGAGGTAAAAGCAATTAAAACCAACAAATGTATGGTGCAGCGCTGAGGAGCTGAATGTTTTGAATGGTTGATCTGTCTTGTCTCTAACCCAGAGCCTTCTCTGAGTGACTCCTTGCTATAGCGTTTACAGTCTGTTACATGCTCAATTTAGCGTTTGTCTAAAGGCACACCCAATGTATTTTTCCTAAAAAGAAGAAAAGATTTATTATCCATTGAGTCTGATTCATGTAGTCCCACCCAATTGAGCTCAGATTTCCCTTGACCTAGTGTGCTGGGTTGACTGCAGCTGGCAAACTTGTGGATTGAGATAAAATCGGTTTAATAGGGAAAGCAAAAGCTATGTGTGAAAACAAAGCAAAATAAGGAATTAATTCACTGCTTCCCATTGGCAGACAGACATTTAACCGCTTCCTGGAAAGCAGGGCCCCAGCATGCATGACAGTTACTTGTTACCACAGACATCCCCGCTTCCTTCTCCTTTTCCCCAAGCTTTTGTTGCTGACCACGACACCATATGTATGGGATATCCCTTTGGTCAGTTGGGGTCAGCTGTCCCAGCTGTGTCCCCTCCCAGCTTCTTGCCTACCCCCAGCTGCGGGGGCAGAATGAAAAAAGGAGAAGACCTTGACACTGTGCAGGCACCGTTTAGCAATAGCCACTGCACTGGTGTGTTATCAACACTGCTTTAGTCACAAATCCAAAGCACAGCACCCTACAGGCTGCTGGGGAGAAGGTTAACTCCATCCCAGCCAGACTCAGTACGCCCGGCAGCAGGTGAATGTCCAACCTCAGGGAATTCTTCACCATGAAAGGACAGTCTGTCAGACAGAGGTGGGAACAGGCTTTACCTTGTGATAGTTGGTACTATATCAAAGAAAACACAAAGTGTGTTTTTAAATGCAAAAGAATAGAAGTGCCAGAATGCTTCTGACCTGAAAAATGCTCACAGTGCAAATTCAAATAATCTGTGATGGGCTGTAAACACAGCTCGTGTTCATTTTGGGACAGTTTGCTGGAAAGGCAATAGAAGAACTTGCTGACCTAGTCATCTGGCCACAGAAGCTTACCAGAACAGGTTGACCTGCTAGTCGGTGCAGGTTGCCTCGCGGCTGTGTGGCACATACACTTGGGGGATGCACACTATTTTCTCTGCAGGGTTTTCTTGCTGTTAACTATCTCTTCTGGCTTCACTCACAAAGCCCAATCACTTCTTCCCCACAGGCAAGTGGGAAGGCAAACATGATAATTGAACTCTGTGGGCTTTTTTTTAAAATTCATTAGACTTCCAAGAAGGCCTGAAAACATAATATCTGGGCAGGTAATGAAGGGTAATCTCTTCTGACAGCTGTCAGAGTGCCTACATACATAGGTAGGGGTGACTTCTGTCTGGGTTTGAACCTAGTGACATATGGTGGCAGCTAGTTGCCCACTAAGTAGCCCTGGAGCCAGCGACACGCAGATCGATGTGGCTTCAAAACTTCTACCTCTGAGTAACCTGAAGGGATGATTCCCCCAGCTCAGATGAAGCTCTATCCTCCCTGTCAGGAGAAGGTTGAGAATAACACCTCCCCACTTCAACCAAGCTTTGCTGAAGCACTGTGGAGCACAGCAAGCGAGAAGTGACGTAAAGGTCACCTTACATGGTTGGAGCCGAGGGGATCTATAGCAGCTGCCACTGAAAAGGTCCTGCCCCCACTTGTACCTCCTCTTATACCTGCCAGGGCATCTCAACTCCTCCACTGTGCTCTTGTCAAGCACTTGTTTACTACCTGTTTATGTCTATTTTTCTCTTATATAGGTGAACTAGCTCAGCAGAGGATCAGATGACCACCCCAGATGGTGCATGTCGGGTAGGGAGCTCACCTTTCAGCTGTGGTGGGGCGTTAGCTCAGTGCAAAGTATAACACATAAATTCCCTCTAGATACTACATTAGGTGTAATGTGAAGAGAATAGCAATTTTTCTTACTAAAAGCAAATAAGCTGATTAAGAAAATCGGGGCTGATGGCAAGACAAATGACTGCCACTAGAAATTTCACCTTTGTGAATGTGAACAGCAACCATCTTCCCCTAGTAGAAACTAGAAAGTCACAGCCACAGCAGACAAAACGGCCAGATGAGAGGAGCTAGAAGAACTGCCTTGCAGGTAAGAGGTCTGAGAGGTCACAGCCTGACCCCTCTGCCCCACACCACCTGCACGGGGGACACAGCCTGCAGGAGCCAGACCTGAGCTTGGTGACCTGGGTCTCCCCACTCCGTCTGGCTGCAGAATTGCCATTCTGTATGTCTGGAAACACTGTTTTTAAGTACCAGGGGCCAATTGCATTCCCAGGGTATGTTACTGATTTTCTGTATCCCTGATGCCATGCTGTGGCATCACCTGCCCCTCCTTCTCTGTCAAATTTTCTCCCTGTCCTTACAGCCAGCAGAGGGGACATGGGCAAATTCAGGTCCCAGCCATTAGCACAGCTGACTCAGAAGAGCAGGCAGACCTACTGGTTGGACCAGTGGTCCTTCTAGCCCGGTGCTCTGCCTCAGGCAGTGGCAAAAGACTACGCAGAGCTAAGATAGAGCTAAGAGCTTAGATAGAGGCTACTTAGATAGAGCACATGAGCCCAGCTGCTTTCTGTGGTCCCTGCCCTTCCTTCTCCATCAACACTTGTGATGGTTGCAATAGGGTACACCCCAGCAGAGTAAAGACCATGCCCCAATTAAATGCTCTTTCATCAAAACTACATTCCCTAATTAAATGTGCTTTCATTAGGTTTGGCATTGTAACAGCCTGATTGAAGTTATAGAAAACATTGTGTGCTTGCGCAGCAGAAAAAAAAAAATACCAGCCTGATTGAAGTTAAAAAAAACATGGTGTGCTTGCGCAGCAAAAAAAAAAAAAACATGGCAATTTTAACAAACCATGGTAGCAACAACAGCTAAGTGCTCCAGGAAAGAAAATCTATACCCCATGGCTGCCGACACAGGACCTGGTTAGTGTGGGAACAACAGCAAAAAAGACTGATTCCCCAGGATCTTATGTTTTGTACCCTCTCCCCAAGTTCACAATGCATTCTTTCATTACCTTAAACCATCAAACTAATCTGGCTGTCAGTATCTGGCAGTAGATGCTGCGAAGTATACTTTATTCTGTGGGTTAACTTTATCCTTCCATATTCCCATATGATGGATATAGAAATACTAATGTTATTATTAATTAAATATTAACATGCTCTGGCCTACTAATGTTCTCCTATTAAAACATCCTTACTACTAAGTTTACATACATCTTAAGCTAAGAAGTAAATTAATATAGTACAAGGCTAGTTTAGTAACCAAGTTAGCAGGAAACATTATCAATTTTCTTATATTAACAATAAGCTATTTTAAGTTTGCTTCTACTGCATCAAAACCACTTATGCAGGTCTCCCAGAAGCCTAATTAGTTTCTGTGACAACCTTCTGCATTGTTACTACTAAAAGGCTTGATATACATTAGAATAGAGACATACAGGAGCTTTGAAAATGCACTGAAGGGTGTGGTGTGAGTGCTTGGGAAGGGGTGGGGGTGTGTTTCGTCTCCCAGCTGTTGGGCTCTCTAATGCATCTGCAGATGATGAACAACGTCTCGCTCAAGGCTGTGGACTCAGTTTGCTATCAAGTATGAGCTAAGGCAAGACCCCTCACGTGCTGCCTGTAACCTACAGCCTGGCTGTAACTTGGTCAACTATCCCAGCTTAAAACGAAAATAAAATGGTTTTTGTGAGAAAGTGCATTAAATATCCTCCCCCCCAGAGAAAGCCCCATCATAGCAGGCTGGACCAGAAATGCTTTAAACATTGCTGCCCTCGTGCTTCAGTTTGCCATACCTGTAGAAACATAAATGACATTTATCTGCCTTTGTGAAGCTTTTGTGACCGTGACCTCATTATGGACAATTGCTTAGTAACTCCTTTTAAACATTAAGGTGGCATCTAATGGCCTCCTGAAAAGATGCTATATAGGTGTGTGAGTGAGGAAGAACCACATACATGAGCATGGAATCCAAGTTTAACCCCATTTATAAGGAGAGCAGAAAGAAAATACAATGAACACAAAGTCAATATTTAAGTTCAGCCAGTTCAATTAAGCTGGAGCTTGAGGACTATTAGGCTAACATAACATGATGTGTTTTACATAAAAACTAACGACGGTGAACGGCATGAAGAGGCTTTGCTCTTCAGTAAATTTGTCTGTGCATCACTTTGCAACCTGCCTCTGCTGAACAGCATCCCCCGTGCTCGGCAGGGGTGCAAGGAGAAGGTGCTGCTGGCAGCGACAGGCGCCAGCCGACCCTTCCCTTCTGCCTGTGAGGCTGCCAGCGTGGGTTGTTCGCACTCCTGCCACAGCACATTCAGACCAAGCTGACTTGTTTTACGAGCTGCTTAGGCCAAAACCGAGCCACCAGGGTGGAAAGGTGAGGACTCAGGACATCAGTTTCATTTCTATGTCAGCAACCGATTGCATTTGGCTCTGGCTGCACTGTTTGGCTTTGCCGTTTCTCTTGTATGAAAGCAGGACTAATGCTCACTTAATAGTGATGGCTCAAACAGCTCAGGCATTAATAGGATCAGTGATGTGGTAATGTCTCCTAACTAGAAATAAGCTTTAAATACCTTGAGAAGGGAAGCGAGCACCTTTAGATGAAAGAAATTCAGCCATTGACTCTAAGCCCCTTCTGTGACTGCCATGGTAGTTCCTGAGCCAGGGAGTGAGGAGCCACCAAGGCTGCAGACGAGTCTGTGTACAACCCCTCCAGCTATTTTGTCTTCTGTAAATTTAAAAAGAAACATAAAAGCTGATTTGGTAATGCACGCATAAGCTACTAAGGCAAATAATCTGCAACACCCTACATTTAAGGTGATCCCCAAATAGACGGGGAGAGGAACAGACAATTTTGTCAGCATGTGTTTTGCACACACTATGCTCTTGACTGGAAACATCTGTTTT